AACACGAGAAGGGAGATGGAGAGTTTCTCTCCGGTAACGTCTCCTGTGTTGGAGCTAGTTTGCATCTAGAGGTTGCATTGCAAGAGGCCTGGGTTGGGGCATTACTTGCCCTCTCCAAGGGTGGATCTGCCCTCTCCTCGCGCTATGGATGGGTTTGAGGGCAGTGGATATCTAGGGAATCATGCATGCAAGCAACCATTTTAAAGGCATCTCCCACCATTTTCTTCTTTCCCAGAAATCCACACTATGTGCTACTTGCAAAACGCATTCTTCCTGCTTTCTTGGACAGAGGCGCCTAAATCTTGCGCCAACCATCCAAATCTCAGTTTTAATCCCCAATTCTTTAACGGGAAGTTGTGCATAGCAGTCTGGAAGCAACCACCAGGATCCAGTGGCTTCCAGTTTAAATGCATAATTAATTCCCCAAGATAACACCAAGCCCTTCTCAATGATAAAATGCCAAGCTAAAGAATGGAGCATGCCACAGACGTAAAAGTGTCTTTACAATAAGGGGCATTTAAAAATGTAGTCATGTTGGCACAGGCCTGTGATCCCAGCTACTCAGCAAGTTGAAGCTGGAGGATCACAAATTTAAGGGCTACAAAATGAGTTCAAAGCAAGCCTGGGCAATTTGGTGAAACCCTGTCGCAAAAAAAAAAAAAAAAAAAAAAAAAAAAAGGAACTCCAGAAGTGTCTGAAAAGATGGTTCAGTGGTTAAGAGCACTTCCTGCTCTTGCAGAGTGCCAGAGTTTGATTCCCAGCACCCTCACAGGCTGTTAACTCCAGTTCTTGGGGATCTGATGACCTCTTCTGGACTACTATGCTCAAATGTACATGTAACCACACAGAGGTATACATGCACACATAATTTTTTGTTTTTTGCTCTGTGTCGCTCAGGCTGTCCTGGAACTCCCTCTAGAGATCAGGCTGTTCTAGAACTCAAGAGATCCACCTACATCTGCCTCCCAATTGCTGGGATTAAAGGCATTCACCACAGAGTTCAGCTCATCCACACATAGTTTAAGAGGGAAGAGTGGTGATAGAATGCTTGCCTACCATATGAAAGGACTTGGGTTTAGAAAATAAGAAACCAAGAAGGGGGGGGGGTGTTACAGTTCAGTGGTAGGGCATTTGCTTAGCATGTGTGTGTCCCTGGTCCATCCCCAGGACCCTCCCATCCCCCACAAAAAAAGTCACCAGACACAATGGCAGACTCCTGGTAATCCTAGCACTTGAGAAGTGAAGGCAGGAGGATCCAGAGTTCAAGAACAGCCTGGGCTCTCTCAGTTATGTATCAAATTCAAGGGTAGCCTGGGACACATTAGAATTTGTCCCTCCTGCTTGTGGGGCCTGGACCTGCAGCACCACTTCTGCAGTCAGTCAAGTCTGCCATCAGAAGACTGGAGGAGTGAAAGACCAATAGAAATGGAGCCATTTGAGCTGGGCAGTGGTGGAGCACGCCTTTAGTCCCAGCACTTGGGAGGCAAAGGCAGGAAGATCTCTGTGAGTTTGAGGCCAGCCTGGTCTACAAAGAGAGTTCCAAGTCAGCCAGGACTGTACCACAGAGGAAACCCTGTCTCGAAAAACCAAATAAAGTTTAAGATAGCCTTTGTTTTAAGCTATCTCACTATGGAGCCCTCACTGGCCTGGAATTTATTATGTAGACCAGGCTGGCCTTGAAGTCACAGAGATCCACCTGCCTCTGCCTCCTGAGTGCTGGAATTTGAGGTTTACATGGCCTCATCCTATAAAACTCCAATGAAAAAGCAGACTTGCAAGTGCTTTTAAACTCTTCAAGGATTATTATTTCATGAAGAGAGGAGGAAGCGGCAGCATTTGGTGACAAACAGTAAAGGTGATGCCCAGGGAGGTGATGGTTGGGGCTGAGACTCCCAGCAGGGTCTTCTAGGAAGGGTCAACAGTCAGTGGTGATGGTGGCTGAGAGCTCTTGGATGCGCCAGGCACTGCAAGCCTTGCACAAGATGTGCCCATCCAGCGGGTAGCAGCCTTGACACTCGCCCTCAGAGGACAGCAGCAGCCCACACTCCTGTGGGAGAAACAATGCCTGCCAATTAGCCTGAGAGCTCTGTGTCTTTTCCCTTAGGGTTCTCCCCCAGCATCCCAGGCTCTGCAGAGCCCTTGCTCTTGTCCAGGGACCCCTTACCTCACACTTGTAACAGCCAATGTGGAAACTTCGATCCAGAGCAACGATTCTCACTGTCTCCTCCTGACCTGGCTCTGGCATGATGGCCCCACCACACACTGAGCAGCGGGGGGCAAATTTCCTGAGGTGGAAGGGAACCAAAGGGGCTTTCAGGTCCCTCCCTGCCTCCCCACAGGAGGCTTGCAATGAAACCCAGCAAAGATGGAAAGGTGGGGGAATGAGAAGGACTGGAAAAAAGGGTTTGGGTCTTGGAGAGGAACATGATGTTAAAGAAAGAGAGGACCAGAAGTTAGAAACGGACATGAAGAGACGGGACGGGTCAGAGATTCTGTGTCAAGGCAAAACCTGTGGAAATCCTCAATGCAGTGGATGTGGATGGGGGCATCCACTGTGAAAGGGATGCCATCGAGGCCACGGTGACACACCACACAGGTGAAGCAACCAGGGTGGTAAGCCTTCCCCATAGCCCTCAGGATTCGGTCCAGGATGGGCTCAGAGCATGTTGAACACTTCTCCAGGGTGGCCTAGTAGGAACAAGGAAGGAGGTCAGGGAGGGAAGCTGCAGCAGCCAGGAAGGCACACTGGCCTCCCACCCATTTGGTGCGTGCACAGCATTCTAGGGGAGGTGGTCTCAGCATCTCTGAGTTCTTATCCCAGCATTGTAGCTTCTAGACAAGGAATTCAGTGTCCACATACTTCCTTTTCCAGTAAGATGAGTCAACAATAATCTCTGCTTCTGAGGAATGTTACCAGACTTTCAGAAGTTACCTCAACTCTAAAATGCCTTCTGGCTAGGCATGGCAACTGGCACACATCTATTTTCCTAGTTCTTAGAAGGCTGAGGCAGGAGGACATGATTTCAGGGCCAGCCTGGGCTACACAGTAAGATTCAGTCTGGAAGGAAGGAAGGGAGGGAGGCCGCCCACTTGAAAAAGGCAGCTTCCGTACCCCCCCCCCCCCCCCCCCTCCCCTTCCCCCCCCCACACACTCTTGGTCTGGGGGTTGTGGCTCAGTTGATAAAATGTTTGCTTGGCATGCATGAAGCTCTGGGTTCTATTCCAAGGACCACATAAAACAGATATGGTGGCACACACCTGGAATTCCCATACCCCACGGGTAGAGAGGAAACAAAGGCCTTTCTCAGCTATACATAAGAGTTTCAGGCCAGCCTGGGATACATGACATATTATTCCAAAACTACAAACAGGCAATCAAAGAAACAAAACCCAAAATGTTCTTTTGGTTGATGGACCAAATGATCTCTGGAAACATGTGCCCTGGGTTGACTTTAGAGCCTGTCCTGGAACTAGCTCTTGTAGATCAGGCTGGTCTCGAACTCACAGAGATCTGCCTGCCTCTGCCTCCCAAGTGCTGGGTTTAAAGGCATATGCTACCACTGCCTGGACAAACCTGCTTTGTAGCTAAAACTGACCTCAAACTCCTAATTGTCTCTCCTGCAGATAGCCACCACGTGGAGCTCCTTCCTTCTTCTGTTTCTGCTTGAGTTCCCAGCTTCAAGCCCCCTCCATCATCTGCCCCATCTGACTAAGTATCTGGCCATCTCTTAGATGGGCAGGAACCCGCCTACCCATCTTGATACTTAGTTTAGCCAACTTTCCCCCAGCCCAACACTCACCACGTAGCAGCTCTCACAATATGCCCTCCTCTCCACAGCATAGAAGTGCTGGCCCCGGAGCTGGGCCCGACAGGTAGAACACACAAAACAACCAACATGGAAGACACGGTCCAGGGCCACAACCCCAGCTCCATCGCCAACCACATCTTCGCCACAGCCACCACACCGACCTGAGGATAGAGAGCAATGAGCATCAGTCTGTACATATCCATGTCACCAGAGCCACCATCTCCTCCCTCTGCCCACCCTACCCACCAGGTCAGCTCACCAAAGTACTCCCCACTGGGCGGGTGGCTCATGTCATGCACCAATTTCTTGGTCAGTCTCTCTAGCTCTTCTTCCGGAGGTTGGCTTAAAGGGACCTACAGTGAGAATCAGGGCTTTGTGGTACTACCTACAGTCTCTGATACCATGAATAATCTGTAAGGTCAGAACCCTGAAACTCATCTGAGAACATCTCCCAGAAGCTAATGGGGGGGAGGTACCTAGCCCATTCCCTTTGGCCATTTTGACCCATGACCTCTAAGTACTCCAAAAACCAGGATTGATTTATTCATTTATTTATTGTTGGAACAGTGTCTCATATAGCCTAGGCTGGCCTGGAACTTGTTATGTAGCCAAAGATGACCTTAATCTACTGATCCACCTGCCTCTACCTCCACCATGCTTGTGGATAGAACCTTGGAACCCCTGCATAGTAAGCAAGCACTCTACCAACTGAACTGCCTCCCCAGCCCTAAACCAGTATCCTAATTACTCCATGCCACCCAATCAATGCCCACTTACCTAAAATGTCCACAAACCCAGTGTCCCCCATCCCCCACCCAGGTCACCTGGGGCCCATGCCCGCCTCCTCTTCCTCCTCCTGCAGGGCCATGTATCCCAGCGGCTTCCTCCTTTACCCCTGGTCCTGGCTCACGGTGGCTCCTATAGCCAGACCCCCAGACTTCACTACGGCCTGGCAAAGGAAAGTGGGGGCCTGGAAGAGGCCCAGAGGCCTGAGAGGCCCTCCGCCTTGGCAGTCCACAGCCTCTCACTGGTTGAGCCACCTTCACTTGTACAGGGAAAGCAGGACCAGCTGGAGTGCTGGCTGTGGCGTAGGAGGCTGGGGTAGGTCCACCATAAGGGGCTGCTGGGAGCATAGGGGTTGGAACAGCACCTCCACTGGGCTTCAGGGAGCCTGCGCGGTAAGCATGGGGTGGAGGGACCTCAAAAGCCTGGGGAGACACGCAATGGAGAAACAGTGAGTAAGGCCCTAACCAACATCCATGCATTCCAGGTGGGAACCACAGAGAAGCAATGATTTCTGACAAGTTCCCACGGGCAAGGCCCGGCAAGGAGGCAGCCCGTGCTTCCTTGAGCCAGCTGTTCATTAGTTGCAAAGTGTGGAAAGGATGGCTTCAGGCTGAAGAGCCACAGAAGGGAACTGGCTAGGGATGGGGACGCAGACACAGGACACAGGACACAGCCCTGTCTGTCTGCCCGCCGAGGAGCATGACTGCGACCCCCGTCCAGATCAGCCAACATGCTAGTGAGTGAATCTATCTCAGCATCCAGGCTTCCAGGACGGATGACACCCCTGTCTGGCGGGAGCCCCTGGAGACAGAGCCAAAGCAGGGAGAACAAATATAGACCACAACCCTTGGGCTTCTGTCGCCTTCACCCTGAGACAGAGACCCACACATCCTCCTCTCATCTCCAATTCTCACCTGCAGACGCTGGGGTGCTCCGTGGGAGCCCACCCAAGTAGGCCCCCGATCGTCCGGTACCCCCGGAGGCTGATAACACTGTTCAGGTGGGAGGGGGCAAAAATTGACCCTGGGGTGGGGCTGGAGTGCTGTAAGGGAGAGAACAGAGGTGGGAATGGAGAATGGTACCTCGTGAAGGCTGCCCTGCTCGGGGTGCCTCTCCTTCACGCATCTGGGGCGTCTGGGAAGGGCTAGGAATCAGGGAAGGTTGCACAAGGGCAGGGGCCTCTGGCTTGGGGAGGAGACATCAGAAAGCAGACAGACAGGAGAGAAAAGGTGAAGGAGAGTGGCCAGGAACCCCCCCGCCACC